GTCATGGGCTCGATTTCTGAGACAAGTTTAATGGCGTAAACCACCTGTTGATATTTTCACTGCCAACTGAGATACGGGGTCTTTTTGAATTTTTTACCCTTTGGAAATACAAAAGTTATGGGCAATTGCCCATAACTTTTGTATTTCGTGGAATAATAAAATTCTGTAAAAACGTTCTTAAGGCAATTTTTAAGCGCAATCCATTGGCGTAGTCAGTTCTTTTCTATAAATGCTCTTTTTGTCAGAAATAATAAAAAATATAATTTTTTAAATGGAAATCATAGTTGGCTATGAACATAAAAAAATGCTGGCGTTTAACCCTTTCCAGCGATATAAAGTTATGTGTATTTATTTATAAGAATGAGAGAAATATTAGATTTTTTATCTTTGTATCGAAGCGGGCTTTGATTTTGTGTGTAGTTGCCTAATTATTTTTTATCACAATTTAATATTCTATATTAATATTTATCTGCATAATTAAAAACTTTTGAAAAGGTAAATCAACATTCTATATTAGTATTACCAATTACAATTAAAACGCTAGGGTTACAACTGAACTATTAAATGGAGAATTTAGAGAGAATTGGGTTGGAACAAGGGGCCCATATCTTGGCCTCCTAGGTCCTGTCATTTAACTCCTTTCGACTTTTTTATGGGGGACATTAAAAGATCTTATATATAAGTGAAGAACCATTGGTACAAGAGAAAAATTGCAGAAGGCTACTGGGGCAAGCTTTTGGACTTATTAAACCAGTTCGCCTAATAAATCGTTGTAATGTTTATTGTGTATTCAACAAGGAGGTGTTCAATTTGAACATCTTTGATTTTTTTAGAAAACTATATTCGTCACTGAAAAAATACGTTTTTTTAGTTTTGTTCTTTGTTTATTGTATCGATTTCAGTTGTAATTACTAATACTAATAATTACTATTACTAATAATAATAAAATGTTAATTTCCCTTTTCAAAAGTCTTTAATTGTGCAGATAAATAATAATATAGAATATTAAATTGTGATATAAAATAATTAAGCAAATAGGTCAACTCGAAATCAAAGCCCGCTTCGATATAAATGTAAAAACCCTCATATTTCTCTCATTCTTAGAAATAGATACCCATAACTTTATATCGTTGGAAAGGGTTAAATGCCAGCATTTTTCTAAGTTCATAGCCAACTATGATTTCCATTTAAAAAATTATATTTTTTATTATTTCTGACAAAAAGAGCATTTATAGAAAAGAACTGACTACGCCAATGGATTGCGCTTAAAAATTGCCTTAAGAACGTTTTTACAGAATTTTATTATTCCACGAAATACAAAAGTTATGGGCAATTGCCCATAACTTTTGTATTTCCAAAGGGTAAAAAATTCAAAAAGACCCCGTATCTTTGTTGGCAGTGAAAATATCAACAAGCGGTTTACGCCATTAAACGTATCTCAGAAATCGAGCCCATGACATCTATGTCGGTTTTGCTCTATCTAGTTAGGAAATAGGTTTTCTCTGTTAAAACAGACTAATTTCGACCACCCTGTACAAAATATTATGAAATTCAAAGTTTCATGGATATTAATAAATAAATAAGAATTTTTTTTCAGCCTTTTAAAATAATATATGAAATGTCCCGAAATCAAAACTCTACAGGCATTTACTACAGTTCGTCTGTACTTATTTAAAAAATTATTTAAATAATTTTTTTGTCAAAGCCATCTAATGATTTTGGTCTGGTATTTTACCGTTGAAAGAGTTAAATAAACGGAGTTATAATAAAAACGCGAATATTTGCGAAACCGGTAAAAATTTTAAAATACTTATATTACAAAAATGTATTTGAAAAACGTACTAAAATTATTTTATATTTTAGAAAGTTTGGCATATAATTTTGAACCTTCTGAAGCAAAATGAAATAATATGTGTTCCATAAAAAAAAATCCCGAACCACTCACACTTTTTTGAGCCACCCTGTAGAAGTTAAAATATTTTTTCCTGAAATACATTCTAATACCTACTTTGGGTTTGCACTTATACAAAATCCCTAAGTTTTTTTATTATAGGAGCTATAGATGCCTGACGCACTATTGCCGGACCCTGTATTTCCTTAACCTAACAAGTTAAATTTAGATGTTGTATTTGACGAAGAGTTACGCCTGATACTGTGCTCGCATTTTTTAAACCCCAATCTCGAATATTAAGATTTCATACATGAGGAATATTTATTTATATTAATTTTCATTTTACAATGAATTTCTATCTAGAAGTTGTTGATCTTACCTATTGTTAATTTTCAGTATTACACACTTGATTTAAATTCTTATACTTTTGATAATTTTAAGATTAGTAAACATCACGTAGTAAACGTCACATTAGTAAACGTCAGATTTTGAAAACAACATATGAACAAATCATTAAAAAAGGCCGTAACAACTCTAACTAAAACTTTGTGATTTTAATATTTATGTTTAATGATAGAGGTGTTTAACATTTCATTAAATAAAAAATGATAATTATTTTAATTAAACCTTTATAACCCTGAAGCAGTGTGAAAAACTCTCTCTATTTCTCGTTACTGAAGAAACTCATTCCTATTCAAGGAGCTTTTCCAAAATTAACACCATTACCATTGAATTCAAACAAGAAATTACCCATCCAAAAAGCATCGCGGGAGACAATGAGGGTTATAGGAGTAAAAAGGGGGTTAAGGTTAGTCCCCTATCCCGTTGTTTAGACCTGGCAGAGCCCGTATTCTATTAGCGTTACCCTCAGCATGTCAGATAGTATTGATTCACCCGTTGGGCGCAAGGTTTCCCATTTTCTCCGATCATTAATCAAGAAATAAATAAGTAGTAACCCTTAAAAATTTGCTATCCCCAACATCACCCCATATTCGCTCCCCGCTGCCTTGTTTCAAGCCTCTTATTATCCTTAAGCTCTTGTCTATCCCAACCATTATTCATCTTATGTTTTAGAACACATACTGGCTGTAAGAAAAAAAACTGTTGCATGCAGCTGCGGCTTTAAATATGACAAATATTTTATCCTACTAAACAATTTTAGAAATAATGTTTTTCGTATTTTGGAAAATTATTAAAACACTTTAATCTTGAGCAAACTAAGAAGCAAAATACTTAATATAAGCAATTCAAAATGTTGTCCTCGATTTTATCCTAATTTAACAAACTATGAATGTAGTTTCTTATTTATTTGACACAATATCGGAAATATACCTAATAATTAAGAGGATCCCTGATTACGGTTTTTTCTAGTTTATATTTAATATATTTTCCTTAACAAGTTAAGTTTAGATGTTTTTTACGAGGAATTTCGCTTAATACTGAACTCGTATTTGTTGGGTCTTAATCTCGAATATTAACATTTCAGTATGTGCGTGAGGAATATTTATTTATATTAATTTTTTGATTTTACAATATAGAATTTCTATTTAGAAATTGCTGATCTTGCCTATTGTAAATTTTCAGTATTACACACCTGATTTAAATTCTTATACATTTGATAATTTTAAAATTAGTAAAATCATATATCAGATTTCGTCTGATTTTGAAAATAACATATGGATTTCAAGTTATTGAAAAAAGCAGTAACAACGTTAACTGAAACTGAGACTTAAAAAAATTAAAAAATAAATTTGTTTAATGATAGAGGTGTTTAAAATTATTTCATTAACTAAAAAAAAATAATTGTTTTAATTAAACCTTTATAACCCCTTGACGTAGCGTGAAAAACTCTCTCTCTTTCTCGTTATTTAGGACACTTCCCATTCGAGGAGGTTTTCCAAAATTAATACCATTACCATTGAATCCAAACAAGAAATTATCCATCCAAAAACCATCGCGGAAGACAGTGAGGGTTATAGGAGTAAAAAGGGGTTAAGGTTAGTCCCCTATCCCGTTGTTTAGACCTTGCAGAGCCCGTATTCTATTAGCGTTACCCTCAGCATGTCAGATAGTATTGATTCACCCGTTGGGCTTAAGGTTTCCCATTTTCTCCGATCATTAATCAAGAAATAAATAAGTAGTAACCCGTCAAATTTGCTATCCCCAACATCACCCCATATCCGCTTTCCGCTGCCTTGTTTCAAGCCTCTTATTGTCCTTAAGCGCTTGTCTATCCCAACCATTATTCATCTTATGTTTTAGAACATATACTGGCTGTAAGAAAAGAAAATTGTTGCATGCAGCTGCGGCTTTAAATATGACAAATATTTTATCCTACTAAACAATTTTAAATATAATGTTTTCCGTATTTTAGAAAATTATATTAAAACACTTTAATCTTGAGCAAACTAGGAAAAAATACTTAATATAAGCAATTAAAAATGTTTTCCTCGATTTTATCGTAATTAGACAAGCTGTGAGTGTTATTTCATATTTATTTGACACAGTATCGGAAATATACCTAATAATTAAAAGAATCCGTAATTACGGTTACAGTAGTTTATTATTAATATATTTTGCTTAACAAGTTAAGTTTAGATGTTTTATTTGACGAGGAATTGCGCTTAATACTGAATTCGTATTTGTTGGGTCGTCGAATATTAACATTTCAGTATGTGCGTGAAGAATATTTATTTATATTAATTTTTTGATTTTACAATATAGAATTTCTATTTAGAAATTGCTGATCTTGCCTATTGTTAATTTTCAGTATTACACACTTGATTTAAATTCTTATAGGTACATTTGACAATATTTTAATTAAAAAATATTTAATAAACAACATAATTTCTTGATAATATTGCAACAAATGTAGTAGATTTAATTTACAAGAAAGAAAACTCAGAAAAGATCCAGAGGTTCTCAAAATTTAAGCAAAAAACAAACATTTTTTTGAAAATTTTCAAAATAAAATAACTCATAATTCGGTTATATTGAACTTATTATGAATGAAAAAAGGTAAAGAGAAAATATGTTTCTTTTATTGAGATCTACTAGCACTGAAAATGTTTGCACTTATTTAAGACTCATCTCACCGCAAAACACTCACCTTATCAATAACGCATATAAGATCGATGACGCTACCTATATCTACATGGTGTTCACCCGATCTGCTACCCTGAATTGTTGCTTCTGGCACAACTATTTGTAGATTGGCAAAGTGTGACACCAGACCCTGACTACTAGATATCTAAAAAATAAAAAAATATCAGTCAACAACTTTTTTTGAAGTTAAGTAAAAATCATCATTCAATGAAACAATGAATTATTTTTACAAATGGACATTATGGTAATAATGGAAAGCCCTCCTGCTTATTTATTATATAATTAAAATAACAAATAGAAAACAGGCAGACTATAGTAATAGATAATATTCCATAAAAAGTTTTAGTAAAATTCAAAATTGTTTTCTACATACTCGCAAAGTAAGCCGAGGTAGTTCAAGGTCGAATAATATAGTAAAAAGTGTAATTTCGTGTTTCGTTCTTGTCTAACTTTGTCTTATCTTGGCTTATTTTTATTACACGAGGAGACACGAAATATCCCTTTTGATTATTGGACTGTGACCTACTTCGGCTTACTTCGCGAGTAGTGTAGAGGAAAACTGTGACGTGATCAAGTGGAAAAGTTAAAAGTTTGACAACTTTTTCTAGTAATTGAAAATGTCTACAACTAATTTTGATGTTCTAAATGCTTACATTGAAATTAAAGGAACATACTTTTACGCTAATTGAAACCACTAATTGAGAGGTTCTGAAAGAAGCTTTATTAATATATGCAGGCGACTTCAATAACCATCACACTGCTTTGAAATATCGAACTACTGATGAAAATGGCGATCGCCTTGCGAGCTAGGCTGAATCACATGATCTTCACCTGATTTTTAATGCCAAAGAACGAAACTCTTTCAGATCAGCTGGGTGGAACACTGAAACAAATCCAGATCTCTGTTTTGTCTCAGAGAATGCCAAAAAATGTCCTATATCAATGTCGAGGAAAGTTCTGAATGACTTCCTGCACAGTCAAAATCGCCCCATAGTTCTCGAAACTGGAATTAAAATTCCGATAATCCATTCTACGTCCAGGCCTAGGTGGAATTTTGGAAAGGCCCAATGGAACAAATTCGCTTTGGAGTTGGACAAAGTCGTCAGATGGATCCCTCCTAAAAGCCACAATTATGGAAGATTTAGCAAAGCCATTATAACAACAGCAGAAAAGTGTATATCCCGTAGATTTCGAAGGGAATATGTCCCAGGATGGAGTGACGAGATGTAACAACTCTATCAGGAATTTCAGAACAACGGAGGCTCTGAGATAGCGGACGAGCTCCTAAATCGTCTTGATATAGAACGCTGTAAAAAATGGGAAGAAACGACAGGTAGAATGGATTTCAAAAAATCTAGCAGGGGGGTTTGGAGCCTTCTGAGAAAACTGGGCAACTCTAACGTACCCACTCGTGAACCACCTGAAGTATCAGCAGACCAAATCGTTGCAAAAGTGATAACACTCTCTAAGACCCCTAGCAGCAAACAACAAAACGCAAATATTAAAAATAACTTACAATCTGCCGCCAAAAAAGAAGTGCCCACTCTGAATATTCCAGGCCACTCTCTGTGGAAGAAGTGGATAAAGCAATGGAAGACACCAAATCTGGTAAAGCTCCTGGATTCGATGGAATTCACCCCGAATTCCTCAAAAACTGCCGAAAACATACAAAAATGTGGCTGAGTAAATTCTATACCGATATCCTACTAACAGGACATATTCCAGTAGAGCTCAAGAAATCCAAAATAGTTGCAGTTCTAAAGCCAAACAAAACCAAGAACTTGCCTGAAAGCTACCGCCCAATAGCCTTATTAAGTTCATGCTACAAACTTCTAGAACGTATACTATTAAACCGAATAGGCTCATTGATATTGGAACATACTCCTGTTGAACAGGCTGGATTCAGACCGCATCGTAGCTGTGTGGACCAGGTACTCAGCCTAACAACACACATTGAAGCAGGATTCCAAAAACAGCTGAAGACCACTGTGGTGTATGTTGACTTGACTGCAGCGTATGACACGGTCTGGAGAGAAGGTGTTCTATACAAACTCCTCAACGTAGTACCATGCAGTAGAATAGTATCTCTATTAAACAACAGGCTGTGCGACAGGCCCTTCCAAATAATAACAGGAAAAAGCAGGAGTAAAATAAGACACCTTAATAATGGGCTCCCTCGCCGCACCTATACAGGGTGAGTCAACGATAAAGTCCATTATCTCATTTGTTTCGAGGTTTACAAAAAAATGTTACATACAAAAGTTATAGGGAAGATTAAGATACACATTTTAAAATTATTATAGAGTATACAGGGTGCTTCAAAAAAGTGTGGCGGATATAACATGTTTTTTTAAAGGCAACATCCTATTTTTTATTTCATTTTTAGATTCTGCGTAAAATTCTATAACTCTTTTATACATAACGTTATATACCTAAAATTAATAGTTTTTGTAATATTTAAATTTGTTTATACAAATGTTAAATTGCAGTGTGGCAAAAAATTGTCAGTGGTACCATTGTTTCTGAAGTTGGAATACCAAAATTTGGTATGAGAGTTCTATAGAGATTAAAAAGAAGATATATGTTAAGATATTTTAGTTAAATGCTACAGGGTGTTTAAAATATATTTATAAATTTCAACTACTTGCGATTTATTCCAATATTTTCTATTTTTTCTATTTTTACCCATATCTTTAATACAATTACGCTATAACATCATAGTTACCATGACAAAAAAAATAATTATTATCAAAATTTCATGTCTGTTAAGCAAGTTAAGAACAAAAAGTGAATTTTAGTTTAATTTGTATAAATGGTAGAGGTAGAGGTAATAGTTTCAGATTTTCCTAAAAATGGATTAGTCAATGTGACTGATATACACGAACAAGCCAAAATAAACATATTTTTTGGTTCAGTACTATATATTATATAGTACTTTGCTAAGTACTATAAGAATATAGATGTAGATTATCTAGAAAACATTTTCATATTATATTATATTATAATATTTTCAGTGCGTAATGGGACGGTTTTGTGGCAGTAGTAATATTGGTTTTACGAAATGAATTATAAACCAGAATTACTACGAGAAAAAAAAATTACTGTATGTCGGAGAAAATTTCAATATCAGTAGTCGTCAATAATTAGGTAATCTAGTTAGTATTACCCTAATCTGCGGCTATTCGGCCCGACGGAAAATCCAAATGTCATCTTTCATAATATGGAAATACACCAAGAAATTCACGACTACGATTTTAGTTTATTTGAGTAAAGTTAGTTAATTTTGACTAATAATAACAATTGTAACTAATTATTAAACTAGTTGTTAAAAATAAGTAATAAATATGTTTGTTTTGTCACGGCAACTATGATGTTATAGCGTAATTGTATTAAAAATTAGGGTAAAAATAGAAAAAATTGGAATAAGTCGCAAACTATTAAAAATAGGTATATGACATACTTAATAAAAGTTGAAGAGCTTTGCAAAATCTATCAGAAAAAATGAAAATATATAGGGTGTACCATTTAAAAAATTTGAGATTTTTTAATTTTAAGTAGTTGAAATTCATAAATATATTTTAAACACCCTGTAGCATTTAACTAAAATATCTTAACATATATCTTCTTTTTAATCTCTATAGAACTTTCATACCAAATTTTATATTCCAACTTCAGAAACAATGGTACAACTGACAATTTTTTACCACACTGCAATTTAACATTTGTATAAACAAATTTAAATATTACAAAAACCATTAATTTTAGGTATATAACACTATATATAAAAAAGTTATAGAATTTTACGCAGAATCTAAAAATAAAATAAAAAATAGGGTGTTGCATTTAAAAAAACATATGTTATATCCGCCACACATTTTTGAAGGACCCTGTATACTCTATAAAAATTTTAAAATGTGTATCTTGACCTTCCCTATAACTTTTGTATTTAACATTTTTTCGTAAACCTCGAAACAAATGAGATAATGGACTTTACTCTATCGTTGACTCACCCTGTACTGTTTAATCTATATATCTCCGATATTCCACATACAACGTCAACAAAATTTGGGTATGCCGACGATTTAGCTCTTGCCACCCGCAGTAAAACTATAGAGGAAGCAAATGGCCTACTATCAGAAGACCTGTCTGTACTGGGAAATATTTCGCAAACTGGAGACTAATCCCAAATATGAATAAAACTGAAGTGTCGTGCTTTCATCTCAATAACAAACAAGCACGCCTGGAGCCTCAAGTATACTTCAATAACAACTTGCTACGTTATAACCCTTATCCAAAATATCTAGGAGTAAAAATGGACCGAACACTCTCGTATAAAGGCATCTAGAGAATACCGCAGCTAAAATAAATACTAGAAATAATATAATACACAAACTTTGCGGTACTACTTGGGGCGCAAACGCATCCACTCTTAAAACATCAGCTCTCAGTCTAGTTTACTCAGTTGCTGAATATTGCGCTCAAGTTTGGCTACACAGCTGCCACGTAAAGATAATTGACACCAAACTTAATGAGATTATTAGAATAGTCAGCGACTGTTTAAAAAGCACACCTCTACCTTGGCTACCCACTATGAGTTATATTGCACCTCCCAGTATTCGAAGACAGGAAAGACTCGTTAAGGAATATCAGAAAATATTATCAAATCCCCACCTTTCAGTCCACAACGACTTGCCATATGCCCGTCTGCGGAGACTCAAGTCTAGATCCCCCCCACTATTATTAGCAGAACAACTTTTGGGAGAAAACTTCAGTATAAATGATAAATGGAGGAAGTACTGGGACTCTTTGAAACCAGATCAAGCAGCTTATGTCATCGACCCTACAGTAGCTCTACCAGGGATGGAGCTGCCCCGCCACTTGTGGAAGGTACTCAACAGGGTAAGAACATCTCATGGCATATCTCTTTATTCTTTTTTATAAATGGGGACTGACCGGATCACCGACTTGTGACTGCGGAGAACCACGTCAGACTGTTCATCACATTGTAACTGAATACTCTTACAGCATATGGAGGAGAAGCAAGTGATTTCTTTGAAGCCACAGACACCGTGTTGAACTGGAGCAATAGCCTCGATTTTAAAATTTAAGTGTACTTTTTGTAATATGTTTTATGTATAACTTTTTTTTATAAATTTTTAGATTTCTAGTTTTATTTTTATAATTTGTGACAATCTGTCTACATGTTATGTTGTGTTTGAATATATACATTTGATGTTTAATTCAATCCATGTACGCCATGCGCTAAATAAATTTCGTGATTACCTAATTTTTTAATTTCATTTATTTTCTTTCTGTTGTTTTACTAACTAGTATACTTCTTGCCAAAAACTTTCCTAATGTTATTTAACACAGAAATAACGAGTAAAACTTTGTTGGACTCCCCATCAAATCTCTTTAAAAAATACTTTTCTCATAACCATAAAAAAATTTCCAACAACTTAAAGTTTCCCAGCTGGAAAAAATCGTTCTCTGATTAAGAGAACGAGACCGAAGTTTTTGTTTGTGGTCTATATTGCTTGATTGGATGGCTATTAATCAAATTAATTTTGCTCTAATAAGTTAAAATGACTGATCGATCTTATATTCAATCGTTCCCAGCTTTAGTAAAGTTATCTGGGTCATAACTGTATTTACTGAAGTCGAACCAGTGCAGTGGGAGCATTAAAGATTTTGTTCGTCTGAAATGATTTTATGATTCTAGCGTAACATTAACTGATCTGATAAGTAGCGAAATTCAAATTAACAAACATACGATAAGCATATTTGGGCTGAACGTAATTTTTAAGATATTGGTATTTAATACGAGGAGAATCTTATCAACCAGCCAAACAATGAAGTACCAACGATTTACGAATCCACTGCAGGTGTTATGTATAAATTGTCTGGTTTTTAAGATTTGACTATTTGTAGGGAAATTGGAACAACTTTCGTTGCACGTCATCAATGACACCATGCGTCGTCTTATGGAGTTTGCTGGTGGTCGTATTATGATATGCAACGAAAGTTATTTTAATTTCCCTATACTTTTAGGTATCTGTTAAAAACAATTTTTGAAGTGAAACTTCTTTACGCGCGATGGGAATAAAAATTGAAGGCCGTGACACGGCCATGACACACTAGATGCGAGAGGAAAAGTGGTAACGACCTTGGAGCGTGGTAATTCGGGCCCTATGTGAGCTAGGGGGCTGAAACTCGGAATGTAGATGAGGCTCAAAGATGTGAGCGATGGTGCACAGGGCCCACCCTGCAAAGTTGGATAATACGACGTTTCGTTTACATCTTCATCAGGGTGGGACTAATGATTTGATATTGAAGAAAAATGTGGGTCGATTTTGGTATAATTGTGGACGGGCTACAGGATGACGCCATCGGCGTTTCAAACCGATGCCTCTAAATGGATGAAATCATCAGGATTTTTCTTAATTATTATGGGCCGACTGGAATCAAACTCGGCACGTGGATAGATGTTTCCGAGTCCTCAGACGGGCAGACGGACAGATGGAATAAGAAGAAGTTTCACTTCTAATATGCGCACATAGTGCATACAAACATTTTTTTATTGAAACATGTACTATAAAGAAAACTAACTTGGCATTCATAGGTTCCGTTATCCCGTTTCTGCACATATTTGATCTGCAATGTCCAGTCATCTGATCCCTCGGCATGTAAAATCTGGAACCTTTCGTCATTGGTATATGTAAAAACTCCAGAAGACAGTATATGCCAGTCTCTTCGACGTATCCATGATACTTGCTAAAAAATAAACATTATGATTTATTAGTAGAAAAGAAAAAGAACTTAATATACTTAGTACAAATTATCACATAAATAGTTTTTATTACATCATAAAGAGGCAAAGAAATAAACTATAATAATTTATTTTTAGTTTGATTCATATAATACTTTATTTCGGGGAAATAAATAAGTGGTTTGTTAATTTAATAATAAGAAATTTATTAATGATGGCGTAATATTATGGGGCTTGTGTTGATAATTAAACTATAATATTAATGTTGCGTTAGACTTTAAGGCCATGCCTATGCTTTAATCATTAGAAATATTATTATTTGAAGCACGCAAAAAGCTTGTGTGTGATATCCTGCATGCAACGCATATAGCATGATAATGTCCTACTCCAAGATAATCAGTAACTTTTTTATTTTTTTCTAACAGAGAATAATATCTTGAGTATTTTAAAAATTTCAAGTATCTTCAGAATCTTAAGGATTTTAGGAACTTTAAGATTATTATCTTAAGGTTCCTAAGAATCTTAATAGTTTTAGGAGTCTCACGAATTCTAAAAATCTTAAGGTTTTTAAGAACTTTAAGAATTATATGAATCTTAGAAATTTTAGGAATTGAGGAATGTTTAAAAATATTAAGTATCTTAAGATTCTTAAGATACTTAAGATTCTTAACAATTTCCAGAATCATTATTTTTGAGATTCACACAATTCCTAAGACCCTTGATATTTTTAGAATTTTAAGATTTTTATGACTCTTATAACTAAAAATCTTAAGAATGTTAAGAACTTTAAGAATTTTAAAAGCTTTAAGAGTGTTATGAATCTTGAAAGTCTAAAATAATTAGGACTTTAAGAATCCTAAGATTTAAGATTATTAAGGATTTTATGAATCTCAGATATTTTAAGAATTTTTAGAAACTAAAGATTCTGATTTTTTTAAAGAAACTTAAGATGCACAGGGGTGGAACTCTGTAATTAAATAGAGCTCGGTAGCGATGAAAAATACTGTCGCTTGCCGTTTAGTTCCTACGTATATTAGGAATGCATTGAAAATAACTTAGAAGTGGTTTTATACAGGGTGGTCCGAACTGTATTCCGGAAACTTTGGCAGCATATTCTGCAGATAATAATAAGTAAAAAAGTCCGCATAAATGTATATCCTAAAATGCTTAGTTTCGGAGATACAGGGTGTAGAAGTTTCATTTTTATTTCGATTTTTTCCAAATAATTTTTGAAGCAACGTTAATTTTTGGATGAAAATCGGTATCTGGGAGGTTTTCGACAAGAAAAAATTGATTTTGATATCAATATGATTCGTAGAGGACGCCACCTACATATTTTTTAACTGGTTTGAAGACTAATAACTTTTCGTCCGTACTTGTATAAAACTGATACAATTACGACGTACAATTTTTTACGTAACAAAGGTCACTTGGTAAAAATCACTACCAGTATTGGCTCGAGATATTTGGAATCATAATTATCAATACCTGACATGATTGACATAAATTAAACATGAATTTTTTTTGTGCCAATAGAGTTCAATAGCTGTTTTATCGTTATTTTTTCGAAGAAAAAATTATGATTAATTAAAAAAAATAAAAAGTTTCCAAATTATAATTTCAGTCAAACAATTATCTACTCAACATGTGCAGTTCTTGTCAATAATGACATGTATTGCCTATTTTCATTCTAAATATCTAGAGAACGGTTGCTCATAGCGATTTTTACTAAGAGACCTTTTTTACGTAAAAATCGTCCTAATTACATACCGTATGATCGAAAAAAAAACGACGTCCAGTTGGCTGGGAAATCATACGATATTTCTTTACACAGTAGTTTTATACAGGTATGGACGAAAAGTTACTAGTCTTCTATCCAGTTAAAATATATGTAGGTGGCGCCCTCTACAAGTAGGAGTCATATTGATATAAATCAAATTTCTCATGTCGAAAAACTCTCAGATACCAATTTTTATCCAAATATTGACGTTATTTCAGAAATGATTTGAAAATATCGAAATAAAAATGAAACTTCTACACCCTGTATCTCCGAAACTAAGCTTTTTAGGACATACAAATTACTTTTATCTGCAGAATATGCTGCTGAAGTTGGAGGAATACAGTTCGGACCTCCCTGTATATTAGGCATATTTTTCCAATCTACAGTATGTCCCTGGATTGTCTTAACAAAAGGAAAAACTTTTTTATTATTGACATTTTGAGAAAAATGTATTCTTCATAAAAAATTTTGCTTGTTCTAAAATGGTTGATCCCTTTTATACATATACATATATAAATTCGGGTGAGAACGTCCTACGACGTTGTCCGATGCCTAACTTCCACCCTGTGCGATTTTCTTATTCCTTCCATCCATGTTTTCTCTTTAATCCCTTTTATACTTTTCCAAATTTCAAAAGAAAAAAAAACCTGAAAATACAGTAGAATTTTTCCCAATGAAGTCCTAAAAATCAAGACGCGTTTCTATGTTAATATAATTTCGATTTCTTTCTTTGATAGATAATTATTATTTATTTTGATTAACGTCGTATTGTTTGCGGTTGCTAAAGTATCAGATTTTCCGATAACTATTATCACCCTTTTCGTAACATTGAACTAAATAATTTTTTTTCTACGAATAGCCTAGAAAATGCAGTTTGACACACGGAAAACTCGATCTGAAATTGGCGTTTTGCAAACTGTTGTGTGCTAAGGATTTAGCGCACGACATGTGTCATCATTACTTCGCAAATTATTTCCCAAAACTGGCAAAAACTGAGTGTCTGCTGCTAATTTGTAGTCGTAGAAAAAATAGCGTAAAAAACTCGTTTGAAAACTTCTTTGTACACTCGTTCGACAACAAACTGTCGAACTCGTGTGCAAAACGTCGTTTTCGAACCCCGTTGTTTAATATACTATTGTGCTTCTTTAACATTTTAAAACAGCAACAAACATGACATAAATTAAAATTCTGTCAATAACAATCTATCAAAGAATGAAATCGAAATTAGGTTACCATAGAAACGCGTTTTGACTTTTAGGACGCTCATGGAGGAAAAATTTAACTATATTTCCATGTTTTTTTTTAATTTCCTCTAAAACAGTATTTAAATTTGGAAAAGTATAAACGGGATCAACCATTTTAGAACAAGCAAAAATTTTTATATTTTTTTTCATCTTTCTCAAAATATCAATAATAAAAAGTTTTTCCTCTTGTAAAGACAATCCGGGTATATACTGTATATAAAATAAGTAAGAGTTAGTAAATTAGTAAATAAGTAGTAGTTAGTAAATTAGTAAGAGCATTTTATCATTTGTAATTTTAATTTAGTAGTAATTCCATTTAAATCTAGATAATAACATAGTCATTGGAGAAACACGTAGCAATTATCTATCATAACGTTTCAATATAAAGCCGAACAATGGATGGAGGAAAAGAAAATTAGATTGCTGTACAGGAAAATACGGGGAACGGACCAGGAACGAAACGGTTACAGGCTCCCAAAGGAGCCGTTGCGGAAATCCGCGGTTTTTCCTCTAAATCGGGCGATTTATTCAAAGAAATACCGACCGTGGAAAACTTCGATAGAGCTGTACCGTTTTTCACCGCGCCTCCAGGAAATTGCTTCGTGTTTTTCCACCGGACATTTTCGTTATTATTCGATTTCGAGTCGAAAATTGTGGGAGTCGGTCTGAATTCTTCAAAATATTATGAAAATAGGATAGAATATAATCTTTTTATATAACCTAATCTGAAATACGAAGTCTAAACATATACAGGGTTGTTCACCACATACGACACGGAGTGTTGTAGCTAAACGATTAGATTTTTGCAAATTGTAAGTTTTGGGTTTGTTGAAGGAGTATTAGAGCTACGATTTAAAAATATTTTTACAAAATACAGAGTGTCCCAAATAAATAAAAAATATCAAAGTTGTATTTTTTTTAATGGAACACCCTGTATATTATTACATCTTTAGTTTCTACTAGTAAAATAAAGGTAAATTTGATTAAGGTTTACCGCATTTTAATCTTACCGTTTTTGAAATATTTAGGTTTTTGTCAAAATACAGTAATAATTTTAAGGCTTCATTTCTCAAACATTGTACTGAAGTATTTCTATTTACTAAATTACGCAATAATAAAAATTATAATACCCTATACAGAGTGTCTAAAAATTTATTTTAAGTAATTACTAGCTTTAAACGGCAATGACTTGTTTAATTTAAATGGAACACCCTGTATATTTTATGAGAATCAAATGCACAATTTAATTGTCTATCAAATTGTATTAAACCATTTTTTACGTATCTCTTCAAGTTTTCGTAGAAAGTGCATTTTCTTATAATTGAGACCTCATTTATCAATATACCCATGGAATATTGACATTTTAGATTACTTTTAAAGATGTAACAAATTTTTAAAGATACAGATATTAATATTGTCCATATAGTTCGTTTATTTCATTAAAAAATAAAAAAAAACTGTTTAAATATTTGTTAAAAAGATTGGTCCTTTTTTTAATATGATTCCAGTATTCAATTGATTAATAAGATAATGATTGCTCCAAATACTAAAAAACTGAATTTTATATGTATTAGACTGTAGTAAAAAGTAACTACTAACCTAACTAAACCAAACACCTTAAAAATTTGATTTCATTTTTTGACGAATGCTTATTTTTATTATTATATTAATTTCTGATTCAAATCCACATTTATTTAGAATCATTTATTAACTAAAATAATTAAGTATGTAATTAATTAATATTTGGGCGGAAATAATGGTGGTATATTTAATTAATGGTATACTCTTTTATAAAGATTTAAATAGTTTTCTTTTGGTATACAAATGGGCTAGTAATATTATCGTTTTTAGCACTGTACATTTTGTACATTTGATGCTTTAAAAACAATCTAAAATGTCAATATTCCATGGGTATATTTATAAATGAGGTCTAAATTATAAGAAAATGCATTTTCTACAAAAACTTGGAGGGACAAGTAAA